TGGGTGCATGTTTTTGAACACAGGAGCGTGTGCACATCTGAGTGTTAACACACACCTCTAGTCCCCCAGCACCATGGCCCTCTCCAGCCTTTGTCGGTCTGCTGCTAAGCAGAGAGTCATGTCAGCCTGCTCTATGATTTCTAGACTAAGCTCCGAAGAGCTGAGTGAGGCAGATTTGCCTCTTGAGAGCATTAATCCAAGTAGCAAGTTGTTAAGTCTGAAAACATGCACATATAATTTAAGTTTTTGTAATCATAATGTTCTGCCTGCATAGTCATCTGGTGATGGATAGTATCTTAGCTGTGCCATCTGCTAGGTCAGATGGAGACTTCTGTGATCTGACTTGTTGGAATGCCCATAAGTCCCTAGGTCGAGTTTCATCAGTAAACACATGATTAAAAGCACAAGAGCATAGCGCTCTGATGACCACTCTGCCTGCAGTGAGTTCTTTATAGAGCTTATGTTTTTTCTTTTTAGCCACAGCTCATTGAATTCTTACGTGAGAGGCACTGTGCTAATTGGGCTCCTCTACCTAAAGAAGGAATGGAATTATGATCTTCATTTTGTAGGAGAGAACCAGAGAGGTTCAGTAACTTGCATGGGGTGGCACAGCTCATGAGCAATGGATTCAGGAGACTGGCTGATTCTGCAGGTTGCCACAGCGGGAGAGGAGCATGGATGGCGGAAAGTCTCCAACATGCACAGGCGGAGCATGGGGGTTGCTCAGGTTTACCACCTGTAGGCAGCTGCTTACAAAGAGCAGGGCCTCTCAGTACAGTCTGATTGGAAGGGCATCTCCCCGGCTGCCAGGTCCCTAAAAGGGGCCTCCACTGTTGATGATGGTGCTGAGCTGGCGTGTGCATCCCGCCACGCCTGACATGCTCCATCTGCCCTTACTTTCTTGGCCCCTCCCAGCTGATGAGGAACCTCAGAGCCCCCAGGTTCAAGATCTGGTTGAAGACCTTGTAGAAACCCAGCCAGCACAGTTCTGAGTGCTCACTCCTTAAATGGGGGAAATTGAGAATGGTCTGCCCGGAGTCTATCCCTACATGTGCTAGTGCCCTGACCTCTTTGCTGCCACGACCTGTGGCCATCACGTGTGTCAATAAAGCCTTTCTTTCTAAATGCAGCCACAAACCAGTAGACGTTGGAGTTTAACCTGGGGCCGGACCTCTGCAATCTGTGCGTCCAGCCTGCTTGCTCACTGACAGTTGGCAAAACTGAGGCCCAGCGAGAGGAAGCTGTAGCCTTAGGTCACCAAGCAAGCCAGTGGCACAACGAGGACATGTCTATGTCGGTGCATCTCAGCCAGAGCACTTCCTAGTTGTCCTGCTGCCCGAGGCTGCTTGCTGCAGAGGCTCGCTCTGGTGAGCGAGGCCACTAGTCCTTCTGAGGACGATGCACCTGTGGGTGAGAACTTCGTGATCCCCGATGGCCTGAGCCTCGGGAGTCAAGGTGGCTGTGGGTGTGGGCGTGGAAAGCTGGTGGAAGGGTTGCCCGAGGAGAATGCAGTAGCCAGCTCTTTTTAGGAATTATCTCCTCTGTTGAGTGACACCGTTTAAAATAAGCAAGGCGTTGTCTGTAAATATGGAGACAAGAGGCCAATCAGAAGGCATAAACTGACCCCGGAGACCATCCTACCTCCTTGCCTCACCCGAAGGACACGCACGTTCCTGAGGGGCTGGAGCCCTTCCACAGCCTTCAGAAGGCCACTGCACCAAGACGGTGTTTGTTCCGAGAGCCTGTCCCAGGAATCTTATTTCTCTTCAGTTTTACCAGAAAAATAAACAAGGTGCCAGTGGGTGATGCTATTCTTTCTTTCAAGACCCACGGAAAGCCCGCATTTATTCCCCATCCCCCAAAGCCAGCATCAGAGGTTCCGGAATGGTTGAAGTTGCAGTGAGCATCAGATTTTCTGGTTCCATAGGCTTGCGATGGGGAAACACATACGGGGGTGGGGGCAGGGGACTGGCCCAGGGCTGGCCTCCTGTGTCCTTGGCTGTGCCTCTCAGAGCTGTGCCCTCTCTGTCCTTCCCATTTCAGGTTTCTGGGGCCCCGTCCTGTAAGATACTGGGGCCAAGCAGCTCGTGGGAGACTCGGTGACCTCCCACGCCCTCTCCAGCACCAATCCTCTGTGGCGTTCTCAACAAAGGCATTAACCTCCTCTCCTTCTCAAGGTTGTTGCCTGACTATTTATAGAACTGACCAAGAGAATTCCACTATTGCCAGCAATACAGAATACAAATCATGCCCCATGCCTTGGTTTCATCTCGTTTTAACTCCTTGGACATAGCTTTCCTACACCTGGTGTCCCTTCTCAATGTGGACACACCAGGGAAGAGAGGGGCGTGGGCTCTGCCACTTGCTGGGCTCCTACTGTGCGCACAGGCTCTGGACCTCCCCCACAGGGGGTTGTTTAATCCACATAACCCCGAAAAGTGTTCTCCTCTCAGGTGTGCTGCTTTGAGAGAGGGAGCGGCTGGCCCAAGGACTCAGCACTACCAAGTGGCAGAAGCGACTTAGGTCCAGTTCTCCCTGAGTCCACAATCGCCGTCCTCCCCCCTGCTCCCAGTTCTAGCTCAGCCTTCCAGATGAGACGCGGAGGGGAACTGCAGAGCGATGCCTGTGGATGTTGGGTTTTCTGTGGGGGTCACAGGTTTACTTTCTCACCCAGTCGGGTCAACCAGCCTTTTCTGAGGACCTACTGTGTGCCAGGGGAAGCCTTGTCTCTCGCTGGGCTGTAAGTGCCATGAGGACATGTGCACTTTGTCCTCTCCAGGCCTGGCACACAGTGTGCCCTCAGGCCACCCCCAGCAGGTGAATCAGACTCACGGTCCAGGTGAGAAGCAGAGAAGAGGCAGACTAGTGGGGACAGCACTGAGCAGCCGGCAGTGCCCTCGTGAAGGAGGGAGCAGTGGGCAGGGGACGGGGGGCAGGGAGACTTCAAGGGCTCTGTGACCTCAGAAGCTGCTGCTGCTCCTCCGGGTCTGAGACCCACTTCCCACTCTGCTCCAGAGAAGCCCACCTGGCCTCCAACTTCCTCCCTCCTGCATCTCAGACTTTAACAGAGATTTTTATTTTCCCAGCTGTCTGTCCGGAGTCCCACGGACTGCTAAGAGAACACTGTAAATCTTCCCCTGCTCATCTTCTCAGAAAGCTCTTTCAAAAGCAGGATTTTGGAGAACCGCCACCCTCTCATTATTCCTCTGCTGGGGACTAGCGTTTAGCTGTGGCACCGAGGGGCTCGATGCCTGGCCGCTCCCTCTCCTTCCTCCAGGAGAGGTTCAGATGTCAGGGTGTCCTCCTCAGGTCCAGCCAGGGTGCCCCACTGCCCTTGTCTGCTCTTGGTCCCACTTGCCTGTCAAGAGTCTTGTGGAGTCAGTAGAATGAAGTATGCTCTGGATCCCCGCAAGCAGGAGGGACCAGAGAGCTAAGTCCCCCCTCCCTCTTTGAGGCGTAGTGTTGTTTTCTGAAAGCAATTGACTCTCACTCTGGAACATTTGGAAAATATTGAGAGACAGGAAGAACAAAATAATAATCACCCGAAATCCTGCCACATAGAGAGAAGCAGTGCGGGCAGCTTGGCACACTGCTCCTCGGCTTGGTTTTGTTTTTCGTCCCCGTGTGATTTTTCTTTTTCCACAACTGAGATCGTACTGTAGGGCATGATTTATAGCCTTTTGACCTCACTTAACATTAAAATAGATCGCACATCCTTGGCATTGCCAGCTCTTTGTAATGACTTTAAAATGTGATTTTGACGGCAGCATGAACTTTCTCGTGTGTAGGGACTGTCGTTTAGTCAAATGGTACCCAGCTGCGGGGCGTGTTTGCTGTTAATCCTGGTGCTAAATGACCCTCTCTGGGGGGAAACGCTTCACTTCAGCTATGGCTGCGTGAGAAAGCAATATGGCCAACCTCAGCATCCATCTGGGGCGTGGGGTCTGGCCTTACCTTTGCCTGTGGTTGGTCCATCTCCACACTGGAACATGTAGGATAAAGGTGGTATCTACCTTCAAAATTAGTTGCTATGGGAAAGGAACTCCTGACTAGCTGCTTGGACAGGTGATTTCCTTCCATTTCTTCAACTGAATAATGGGATTTCCTTCCCCACAGACTGGATTCCGTGAGGATTTCAGGAGATAAGGCAGACTCGGTGCAGAATGTCTGACACAGACAAGCCGTTTGTAAATGTTAAGCTATTGCTATTATCAGTATTTTTATCTCTTGACTGTCTTGTCTGGTATTTTATTGGGGCTGCCAGGACTACCCCAGATTCTGTGATGCTAGAAGGGCCCCCAGGTTCAGCATATACTTGTACTCACAGCTCAGGTTTACTCCGGTGGAAGGATGCACAGCAAAATGAGCACAGAGAGCAGGTGCGTGGGCAAAGGCAGCAGGAGACCAGGCACGCCCTTCCACACAGGATGTGTGGGGACACAGCTAAATGCTAGTCCCCAGTAGAGGAATAATGAGAGGGTGGCGGTTCTTCCGCCACCACACAGGATGAGCTTAATTTACCCGGCACGGAATTGCTGTCCACCAGCGAAACTCAGTAGAGACCCAGCGCCCTGGGTCTCACTGGGGGGCCGGTCATGTAGGAACCTTCTGCCTGAGCCCACCTTTCAGATCTCCAGGTAAGCCTGGGCACAGTGAGCCCTTGTCAGCGAGGGAGCGGTGGGAACACTCCGAATGCAGGTTCCCAGATGCCAGCCAAGCCGACCTGCCTAGGGATGCAGTCTCGGGCCTGCTCGTTAGCTCTTTTCTGCACAGATACACTAAGAGGCCGTGTTTCTTGCGTTTGGACCACTTCAGGGTGAGGGTGGGACAGATGTTTTCATGTCTACAGGATGAAACTGAAGGCTAGAACAGGAAAGGGGTTTAGGGACTGACCTTTTCCTCTGCGATTGGGTCCCAAGAGGGTACAAGTTCTGGGTCACGGGAGGGGGAGGTCCCTCCCTGCTCCCCTCCCTGCTAACCCTGTGTCCCCCTCTTTGTAGGCTCTCAAGGGCTCAAAGAAGCTGGTGCTCTCCGTGTACTCGGCAGGGCGCGTCCCCGGGGGCTACGTCACCAACCACATCTACACCTGGGTGGACCCGCAGGGCCGCAGCATCTCCCCGCCCTCGGGCCTGCCCCAGCTCCATGGCAGCGCCCTGAGGCAGCGAGAGGGTGACCGGAGGAGCACCCTGCACCTGCTGCAAGGTGGAGATGAGAAGAAGGTGAGCTGCTCAGCCTTGGCCTTGGCGGGCCCGACCTGAGGTGGAGGGCTGGTGAGGGAGACTGGCTTCTGAGACCTTTTCTTCTCGCCAGACCCAGAATGGGGAAGCTTCTTAGAGGCCGGAAGGAGAGGCTTGGTTCTCCTGGGGCTCTGTTCTTTCTCCTTGACCCATGCAGCCTGAATTACACTGCAGGCTAAAGTGCTGCAGCCAAAGAGCCCAGAGACTGTGGTTCAAATAAGACGAGTATCCCTCCCTGTCCTAGCGGAATGGGGGACGGGGCAGTGTAAGCAGGGCCGTGTAAGCCGGTGGGCAGCTCTGTGCCACACCTTATTCGGGACCCAGGTTCTCTCTACTACCATCCTCTAGGAAATTGCCCCTTCTTGATGGCTGAAGCTGGGCCATGCCAGGTGGCCCCTAGAGTGGAAAGGGGAAGAGAGGGCTCGGTGCTTCTCTTTAAACTAGAAGTGATTTCACTTCCCAGCAGTCTGGACCCAGGCGCCTAGCCACTCTCAGCTGCCGGGATCTGGGGCTCTCTAGGCCTTTGCAGTGCTGGTCTCGGGCTGTAAGGAAGAGAAACAGGCCCCGGTCACCTCCACAAAGGGAGGATTTACTAGCAGGGTATTGGCAGTCCCGGAATTGAAGCCGAGAAACTCGGGGTGCATTCTCCAGAAGAAAGTGATCTCCCTTTTTCTCAGCATCCTTCCCCTCAAGAGTCTTATCCCAGGAAAGTGCATCTGATTGGCTGGTGGGGAGGGCTGGGCACTTTGATTGACAAAACCACCAAGGCAGTAGATGGTGGGGGAGGGGTGGTCGGGATTTTGTAACCTAAAGAAGAGGAGGGGCAGGGGCATCAACAGATGCCCTCCACAGAGCCGTCCTCTCCCCAGACGTGACTATTTCTTAAAATATTGGAGGAAGGGCTGATAGACGGTCCCCCTGATTTAGTTTTGGGCTGCAGTCTGAGGGCCATTTTCATTGTGCCCCCTGGTCGCGCCTGGGACCAAGAATGTCATTCCTGCAAACAGCTCTCTGGTCTTTTAGGATCTTGGCACCAACAGCATGGAGGCCACACAGCTCAGAGGTCTGGGCCGAGCGCCTTCCCTCTGGAGACTTTCTCAGTTTTCCTTTCCTGTCGATAAGACCGTAACATTTATTTAATGTGTTTGTGTTCGTTTGTGCACACCAGCTCAAACGTCAATATGCGGGACGAGGCAGAGATGGCAGCAGCTTCTGTGCCAGGTGGGGGGCAGCAGGGTAGCAGTTGGTGTGCACCCCGGGTCCCCTGGGCTTCTTCAGGGTAGGCAGGGCTGGTGGGGTTTGTACCCCCGCTCCAGCAGTCTTGAGAAAGCAGCAAGGCCTGTGGCGCTGACTCATTTTCAAGGCCAGCCGTCCAGGGCTGGGCAGTAACTTGCTCTATCTTTTCCTCAAGCCCCTTCCCTAGTGTAGGGCATGGTATCAGTGGTAATTATGGTGGTTGGAGAGCTGGCCGAGGTGCTGGACTCTGTGCTTACAGCATCTTCCTGAACCCTCACGGCCGCCTTGCAGGTAGGTGTTCTTATCCACATGATACAGAGGGTGGATCCGACACCCAGAGAGCACTCGGCAGTGAGGGCACATTCGGTGAGGCACCCTGTACTTACTGAGTGAGCTCCCGGAGTGCCTGATGCTGTTATGGGAGGCGGGAATAGAGATGTGGACAAAAAAGATGGGCCCCTGCTCTGGGGAAGCTTCCACTGGGTTTGGACGTCACGGGAGAAGTGAGACAACGATCCCAAAATGAGCACAAGTGAGCAAAACCATGACAGAGGTGAAGACTGATGGGAGAAGTGAGCTCGAGAGAGGGGACAGAGAGTGACAGGGAGGGAGGCACTGCTCCGAGGAGATGGCTCCCGAGCCACCGTGTGCCCCCTGGCGGCTGACAATCCCAGGCAGCAAGGACAGCATGTGCAGAGGCCCTGTGGTACAAGCAAGCATGGTGTCTTCGAGGCTTAGCAAGAAGGACCTGGAATTGAGTAGATGCGAGGGTTGGGAGGAGGTAAGGTGACCTCTGGGAGTCTTGGGGTGACTAATATGGGGACGCAGAGGGCAGGAGCTTAGGGAATCATGTTCCTGGGAGGGTTCACATACCCTACCAGGCAGGAACTACCCCAGACCACACCAGGGAAGCCTTCCCAGGTAGCACAGCACCAGACTGACGCTTCTGCCCTCCCCACACTGCCACGTTCCTCCCCTTGCTGCTACAACATGGAAACCCCCATTTCCCTGTGGGGAAGGGCCCCAAGCCCTTCCTTGGACTCCCTGGGCCTTGATTCTCTTCTGTCCAGTGGACTGGTCTCATCTTCTAATATTCCAACTAGCTGTGGCCAGACTCCCAGATGGACGTCCCATGCCAGACTTCCAAAATCCTAGCACAGCCCCAGTGGGGACACAGCGCCTAGGGAAATGAGTTTTCAGGGCCATAGCGACATAAACATTGCACCTGTGACGACATTCCCCTGGCAGCCACCTCGGCTGTGCTCCAGAGCTGGCTCTGGTTTTGCAGCCCTTCCGCTGAGATGCTCTTCCCCACACTGTGGGGCGAGAACCGTCCGGAGGCCGAAGGGAGGCACAGAGGGAGGGGAAGCATGCGCAGCTCTGTGCGAGTCGGACCTGTCTGCTCACAAGACACCATCAGGTCTGCAGAGGAGATAAGGGCCAGGCTGCAGGGTGCTCCTTGCTGCGTTCTGTGCTAGTCCCCTTCCTCTGTGGGCTGTTATAAAACCAGGACAGCATTGCTCTGGGGGGCGGGTGGTAAATGGGGTAGCGTCAGTGTGGCAAGGAGGGTAAGACCCTGGAGCCAGGCAGCCTGGGTTCAAATCCTCACTCCACCCCTTGCCAGCTGTGTGCCCTTGTACAGTTATATAACCTCTCTGAGCTTCAATCCCATCTTCTGTGAAGTGGAGACGATGATAGGGCCAACCCTCCCCACCACTGCGCAAGCTCCATGATGGTAAGGATCGTGGTTCTGTGCCCTGGTACACCCATCGTGCCTAGATCAGTGCCTGGCAAGGCATAGGTGCTCAGTAAGTATGGAGTGAGTGAATGAATGAAAACGGAAACACGTTGCCAAACAGCCAGTACATGGTAGAGGCTCCACATATATTTGCTGGGTTTGAGTCAAAGTCCTGTTTGACAAGACCTTTGGACACGCTGTTCATTGCAGAATTACAGAGGCTATAACTTAGAGGTTCTTATGAACCCCTCCCTGGGTTCAGTTAATTGGCTAAACAACTCCCAGAACTCAGTTTACTTCCTGCTTACCAGTTTGTTACAAAAGGACATGACAAAGGCAACGGCTGAACCTCCAGATGGAAGAGACGCACAGGGCAGGGTGTGTGGGGAGGGGCACAGACATTCACGCCCTCTCCAGGTGAACCTCTCTCCCTTTCCCTCCACGCGATCACCGCCCCAGAAGCTTCTCTGAAGCCCACACTGCGGGGGTGTTTATGGGGGCTTCCTCATGTAGGCAGGCTCAATTATTAACTTCATTTCCAGCCCGTCTCTCCTCTCTGGAGAGTGGATGGGGGGAGGTGAAAATTCCAAGCTTCTAATCACAGCTTGATCTTCCCAATGACCGCCCTCCACGCAGGAGCCACGCAGGAGCCCACCCCCACCCGGAGTCACCTCATTAGCACTAGATGCTCCTGCTGCCCTTACCACTTAGGGATTTCCCAAGGGTGTCAGGGGCTCTGTGTAGGAAGGGGAGTGGAGACCCAGTATACATATTTCTGGTTATAAATCATAGTATCACACCTGGTTGTAGAACTTTCTGACCGTGTGACCTTGAGAGAGTCACTTAACCTTGGCTGAGCCACTTAAGCTTCCCTCTCCTTGATTTGGGGACGGTCACGGCAGCCACGTGGGGCTCTTCCAAGGATTAATGATCATGTGTAAGCGCAGAGCACAGCACCTGGGACATAGTAATTAATTCCAGTGACAACCATCATTTATTGAATGCCAACTAGGTGCTAGGTAGCTTTCATATCTTTTTGCCCCAAAATGTTGATTGACGTCATCTTCTGGAGTTGCTCACATTGCTTCCGGGGCAGGATTGGGGTTCTGGGGCAAGGCAGGAAGGGGGAGGGCCGTGCCTGCTCCTGGTAGGTTTTCCGTGAGAATTTCGCTGAAGGGGAAACTAAAGGTCAGAGAAGCCGTAGGCTTTGCCCCACGGTTGCTGAGGACTGCGGGGCAGAAGCAGAATTTGGATTCAGGCCTCAGGAGTCGGTGTGGTGCCTCCTTAAATGCCAGGCCTCTGCTAGCCCTTGGCCCTGTGACCTTGGCCACATTCTTTCATCCCTCCAGCCTCAGTTTTCTCATCCAGAAAATGGGGATAATAAGGGGGGAAAACCCATAGGAGTGGAGAGAGGATTAAACCAGGTGATTAATGCATGTGAAGTGCTGAGCCCAGTGCCTGGGTTTAGGAAACACACTGAGTGACCAATGAATTCAGTGAGTTACCGTGACTACCTTCATACTGCTGGCGAGAGCGGTAGCCTTTCCACGGCACCAGGCTGCCTCCCCTTCCTGCCCTTTCCCATCAGCGAATTTTGTTTCTGACCAAACGCCGGTTGCATTTGCAGCAAGTGATTGAGGCGGATTACTCTGTGGTTGATGGGGCTGTTATTACAGTTCTGTGATAAAGACTTCGTTTTATTCCCATGTAAAGGATTTATGGGGAGGCGGCAGGGAGGCGGGAGGTATGTTTCCATCCTTAGTATTCAGAGGGGCTGCCATAGACGGCTCGCTGTCGTCTGTGTGTTCCTGGGCTCCTCTGGGGCCTCTTCCCCCAGAATCTTCGTGTCCAGGAGCTGGAGGGACCCAGTGAGGGTGGGGTTGCAGTTGGGGCAGGAGAACCAACCCCAGGTCACCCAGTGAGCAGGGCTGGAGCTGGGCTTGTTCCAGGCCCTGAAGGCACAGTGTGGAAGAGGGGCATTGTTCTTCCCAGGAGGGTGGGGGCTCCAGGTGGGACCTGGCTGCTCTGTCCTCAGCCTGCCTCCCTGCTCTGAGTCCTGCCTCACTCCCCCTACCACTGTCGTAAGGCGCACGCCTCCTGAAGGATCTCCAGAATGTGGCCCTCTGTGCTCTTCCCCCGTCCTAGGAGACTTTCCAAAATCTCAATCTGAGCCTCTCTGTCCCCCCTATTTAAAGCCTAGGCTTCTTGGCCTGGCTCATAGCCCCCCACATAGGCGAATCTTGTCTCTCCTCGCCTTCCCTGCTGTACTCCCTACAAATGGAATCCTCCGGTGACCCCAGGGCTCTGTGTGCTGTCCAGGTTCTGAGCTTTTGCCTTCCCTTTGCCCTGGCTGACCCCCTCTGCCTTCAGGATTCCGAGGTCATATTTTTTCCGGAGGCCCTGCCTGAGGTCAGACTCCCAGGGAGGGGCTCTGAGACCAAGATCTCCCTGGCAGAGGTTTGTAGGAGAGGCCCTGGGTGGAAACAGTGACTCCCCAGCGACGTCCGTCTCCTACTTCCTGGACCCTGTGCAGATGTCACCTTCCGGTCACCTTCCGCAGCAAAAGGGATGTGGACGTGATTGCATTAATGATCTTTAACACCGGTTCTCCTGGATTGTCGGGTGAGCCCAATGGGATCACAAGTGTCCTTAGAAGGAGAAGGCAGGAGGACCAGAGTCAGAAAGAGGCGATGTGATGCCGGGGACAGGTTGGAATACACTACACGGGCTGAGTAGCTGGAGGAAGGGCCCGTGAGCCAAAGAAAGCGGGTGGCCTCTAGAGGCTGGGGAGGGGGTTCTCCCTGAGCGCCCCTGGAAGGAATGCAGTCCCGCCAAACCACTCCAGACTTCTGGCCTGCGGAACTCGAAGATAGTAAATCTGTGTTGTTGGAAGCCCCTGAGTTCACGGTCATGAGTTGCAGCAGCCCTGCGCTGCCCTGGGATCATGCTGGTAAAGGTGTGAGGGGCGCAGAACTGGGCAGAGGGGCAAGTTGGCTGCATTGCCCTTGCTGCAGAGGCCTCGGCCAGTCTCACGGGCTCTCTGGAGCTGGGGCGGCCTTGCGGAATTGCCCTGGATTGAGGCAGTGCCAGGCTTTCTCCCCTCTCTGGTCCTTGGATGGGAGCTGCTCTAGGAAGGGGTTGACCTCAGGGTGGCAGGAGGGACTCCCATTGTGAGTCCTCAGCGGCCAACGCTCCAGCCCTGGGGCTCTCCTGGGGACAGGGACGCGGTTACAGTCTCCTCTGAATCTGGGCCGGGCACCCACGTGGGGCTGGGTCAGCATCTGGAGCCCAGTGACCGCTCACACCTGTGTGGCCCTTCCCAGCCCAGGACGCAGCCCAGGGTCATCTCTGAGAGGGAAATCTCCTTTCTTTCCAGGTTGTACTTGCACAAGCTTAGCCCAGTGGCTTGCCCAGGAGGGCCATTTGGAAGATGACAGCAGTAGCCAGTGTTTTCTGAGGGCCTCAGCTGTGCCAGGGGGATTCTAAACGCACCCAGAACACGGGCCCGCTCATCCCTCGCAACAGCCCAGTGCAGTGGGTATGATTGCTTTCTCCGCAAAAAAACTGAGGCCTGGAGAGGGGAAGCGCCACTACCAAGGCTGAACTTCCTCGGTCTGGCCCCGGAGTGTGCCCGTCTAACCACCGCACTGTCACCTCCCAGATACACAGACCTGCATGTGATGAGGGACCCGGGTGGGGGGCCTTGAACCCAGGTCACCTCAAACCTGTCCCAGCCCTGGGGCTGGCTCTGTACTGGGGCAGAGAGGGGCAGGTCGTGGGGACTGGCCAGTTAGGTGTTCCCACGTTCGGCCTCAGGTGTCCACAGAGCCTGCTGTTTCCAGGAGGACGTCTGTCTCTCTGACACTTCTGGGTGACAGCTCTGCAGGCCACACGGGCGCCCTTCTCGCTAACGGTCTGTCTGAGGAGCAAACCCGGAGCTGGCTCTGGACTTGTGGGGCTGGGGCTGCTCCACCGGCAGCACCACCTGGCCCTGGCCCACTGCGGGGGGGTGGGGGGCACCCGGAATGCAGCAGAGTCTGCAGTCTCAGCAACAAACCCCGTGGAGCCACTGTCTACTGGGGTGTCTACTGGGCTCTCTCCCAACGGCGGTCTGCCAGCCGGTCTGCGGCCATGTGGCCTTGTCTGGGTTCGTCCCCGGCAAGATGGAACCAACAACGGCCGACTTGTACTGAGATGTGCTGTGGGCCGGAGACCAGCCTGCGTTTGTCTCTTGATTTGATCCCCTCCAAGGTCACCTCACAAGGCAGACACTCTGTTCACCCTCCCTCTCCGGGCGAGGAGGCTGAGGCACGGAGAGGTTAGCTAAGCAACGTGTCCACAGTGGCACAGCTGGGCCCCCCGCAGGGCACTCTGGACTCGACCACCTCCCTCCTGACCTCCAGGGTGGTCAAACAACGAAGTGAGATAATATATGTACAAGGCTTCTCCCAGTGGCTGGTACAGAGCCCTTGGGAACTCGTGGGTGATGGACTCTCCCAAAATAGAAAGGTGGCTGGACAGTTTCCCTAACTCTGTGACATTTGCCCCCCCCTGGTGCCTGCGGGCAATGCCCCCGCCTGTGGCAGTCACATCTTTTACATGTCACTGGGTCCTAGCTTGTTCCGGGATGTTTTCTGCTTTTGGGGGATAGATTTCAGCTGTTCTAGGCCCCCTTCTTTTATATAAATTCCTCTCATATCCAAGGCACACTTGACCTGAATATTCCCGCAGGCTTCAGACCTGCCTGCAGTCTCCCCGGCCTATCCTCCCAAGTCCCCGGCTGGCCCCCGGCACTCCCCCCTCCGGCTACAGGGACTCAGCTCCTCCGTCCTGAGCAGAGCACGCTCCCCTCCCTACTGCAGAGGAGTAACACCCGCTGTCGTGTGTCCCTGGGAAGCCCCTCCTGCTGCCGCTGCTGCCTCTGCCCCTGTCTTTGCCCCACCCTTGCCCTGTGCTCCTGCTCACTCTGATCCCATCACAGACGTCACTTTCTACAGGAAGCCACCTTGACCACCCCTACCCCGAGTCAGGACCATTGTCCCTTTTCCGTATCCACACGGTCCCCAAGCCACCTCACCACACTCTCTGACCACACTGGTTTCACTGCCCCTCTAGATGGAGACTCGTACGAGTAGGAAGTGTCTGGGTCATCCCTGGTCCCCTGTTCCAGCGCTGGGTCTGGGTGCTCCTTGTGTTTGTAGAATTGAGGGCTACTGAAGCAACGCCACTGTGGTATGTGAAGATGGGTGGCAGAGGTGGAAGACCCCTGGGAAGGCAGGAGACTCCTGGAGTGGCAGATTGTGGCGCCCCGAGCCTGCACTCAGCCTTGATGCTAAGGAGGGAGGCTGAGAGATGCGGAGACCCCAGGGCCTGAGCAGGCCCTTCCCAACTGAGGAGTGTGGTCAAGGTTGGCCAGTGGAGGCAGAGGAGTCCACGGCCCTCATGGTGAGAAGACCATGTGGCTCCTGAAGCGATGAGGTGCTCTACGGTGAGCATCAGGGCGTCCCTAGATGTCACCTCCTTCCCTTTCTGCTCTTGTAACTGCTGCCCAGGGAAGCAGAGGGACACCCCCTAGGTCACACAGTGAGCTGGAGGCAGAGCTGGGGTTGAAACCAGAATGTCCCAGGGCATCTTGCAGACCTGACTCAATCAAGGTGGCCTGCAGGGCGGGGGCATGACTCTGCAGCTTGCTGCTCCCTGAAGCTCATGGCGCCTTTCAGGCCCTCCAATGCTGCCTCCTATCCTTCCTGCAGGTGAACCTGGTGCTGGGGGACGGCCGGTCCCTGGGCCTCACGATCCGCGGGGGAGCAGAGTACGGCCTTGGCATTTACATCACTGGCGTGGACCCGGGCTCTGAGGCAGAAAGCAGTGGGCTCAAGGTGAGAGGCCCCGCTCTCCCATGGGAGGGGATGGGGCGCAGGGCTGTACTTGTGGGCCGAGGGAGGGAACCCTCTGTGCACGGAGTTCTTTGAGGCTGATTTCAGACTTGCAGCAGAGCAGTCAGTGCCCACCTTAAGGATGAGTCCCAGTGGGGTGCCCTTCCCTGGCTGCCCTCTGATTCACAGCTCAGAGCGAGCAGCAGGAGCCATGCGCCCGTCTCCCTCCCGTGCCCTGAGTTCTCAGTCGTCCTCAGTGCAGGTCCTCCCATGTGGTGCTGGGCGGTGGGCCAGCCCAGGCTCTTCATGGCCACTGTTTTGCAAACACTGCTGCTGGGCTGCGATGGCCCTGACTCGGGAGTTTATTACAGTGCTTTAGAGAAGAGGAGAGAAAGCCTCAGGCCGCGTTGGGGTTGTCCTGGGGCAGCTTCGGGGCTGGCATTTCATTCAGGGCACCCGGCAGTTACTGAAATAGTATTAACTCACGTCTTAAAGAGCGCTGTGCTTCCAGCAGTTGTAATTGACTTCACATTGAGCTTCACATTGACTTCACATATCATCTCATTGCACCTGCATGCTATCCTGTGGGGTAGGTCATTATTACCCACAGTTTCCAGCTGGGGAAACTGAGGCATGGAGCAGTTAAGCAGACTTGCCCAAGGTCACAGGCCAATGGGATGCAGAGCAGGATTTGAGCCCAGGCAGGTTTAATCCCACATGTGGGGCCAAGGAACGCAGCGTGAGGTGAGACTGTGTCTCCGTACAGAGGGCCTGAGTGCCCCACGCGTGTGAGGGAAGCTGATCGTCTGCACGGACGAGGAGAAAAGGTTGCAGCGGATCAGAGTGGTGTTCACATCATAGTGGTGCACAGCTGGAGTGGTGCGGAGACAGGGCGTGTCAGGGTCTCTTAGCAAATACAGTGGGGTGGGAGAGCTCTTGGTCTGGAGCCAGGACGACTGGGTCCAAAACCCAGCTTGCTGCTTGTGCTTTAACAGCTGTGTGACCGTGGAGAATCCCTTCAACTTCTCTGAGCTTCCCTTCCTTTCCCCAGGGAATCCTAAAAAAAATAACGTGTCTTTCTCAGGATTACTGAAAAGATGAAAGGAGGAATGAACCAACAATAACATTAAAAATAAAGGTTAAACTTGCCGAGTGTCTAAGTTATGGACTGAATGTTTGTGTCCCCACCCACCCACCAAATTCAGATGTATCAACTCTAACCTCCAGCGCGATGGTGTTAGGAGGTGGGGCCTTGGGGAGGTGCCAGGTCAGGAGGGTGAATGGGGTTAGTGCCCGTGTAAAAGGGACCTCAGAGAGCTCGCTAGCTCTCTTTCCACTATGCGAGGACAGAGGAAGAAGATGGTAGTCTGCAACCTGGGAGAGAGTTCTCACCAGAACCCGACCATCCTGGCCCCCTGATCTAGGACTTCCAGCCTCCGGAAGGGGGAGAAATGAACGTCTGTTGCTTATTAGCCACCCAGTTACTCTGTTAGGCATCTGACACTGATGGAGACGGTCCCAAGTTCTTAAAGCTTCCCCAAAGCCCCGTGAAATACCTTCCTTTGTTTGCCCACTGTACAGGCACAGGGTCTGAGATGCAGGGAGTTGCAGAACAAGTAGGAGGGAAAGCCGGGGTTCCCAGTCCGGTTCCAGAACTGCACTGGCAACCGGGCCAGCCGGGCGGGTCGTAGGTACTCCTCAGAGGTCAGCTGGGTCTGCTGGGTTCTGAAATGACCTGGGTCTGGGCACTTGCTATGTTCTCAGCTGGTTAAGATGATACCTTGCTGGGACTTCAAGAGGAAGCATCCTCCTAGTATTCTCTATGCAGATTGTGTTTAGTGAATGCGGTATTTTGGAGTTGTTTTAGATTTACTGAAACGTGGCAAAGACAGTCCCCCTTTTTCCCTTCATCTAGCTTCCCCTAATGCTGACATCTTACATGAGCAGGGCGCGTTTGTCAAGACTAATAAGCAGCTGACACAAAACTGCTAAACCGACTATACACTTCATTCAAGAGTGCTTGGTTTTCCCAATACTGCCCTTTTTCTGTTCTAGGACACAGTCCAACCCAGCATGCCACACTGCATTTAGCCCATTTTAACTCCATTTATTTCCCCCCAAAATTACAAAAAAAAAGAAATGATTGGAGTTAGTTTCAAAACACAGAGTAAAGATTCTCTGTCTTTTTTAATGAATGAGAAAATTAGGAGGGAGAAAACTGGAGGCAGAGGGAAAGAGATGGAGCTGAGGTGACTTTTCAGAACACTTGCTATAGGGGCTGCAAACCCAGCTACAGGCAGGACCCAGCTGCAGCGCCCGGCGTCCTGGCAGCCAACGCAAAGAGGGGAGCAGGGGAGAGACATGTGTAAGGTGAAAACAAGCCACCTGTGCTCGAGAAGTCTGGTCACTCCTCTTCCTGGGTCCCTCCGGTCCCTCCTAGAGAGGATGTTGTGCCGTGACACAAGCCCTGTCCCCAGCGCCAGGAGACACGCGAATGGGCTCCAGACTTTGCTGGCGGTAAATTCGTTCAGATTGAATCCGTGTTAAGGAGAAGGGGGAGGTTGTGTTCAAGAGAGAGGACATGCTGGGTCCTGGCCTGAGAGGTCTGTGCGTATAGCAGAGACATCCCTGGTTTCTTACTAAGCGGGAAGCACAGGCCGCAGAATCACCTCTCTAACAGGGTCTCACCATGGGTGTACGTCCGTGAAAAACATGGTTGGAGGAATACCTAAACCGACCTGTACCAGGATATCCACAGTGGTGCTCTTGACAGGATGCGATTATGGATGATTTGCACTCTTCTTTATGTCCTCATGCAGTGTCTGGACGGAATATTTTATAATCGTGGCGACAGTGACAATAAAGCGATTTCCATTTTGAAACACGGCAGAGGAAATGTATTCCATAGGAGTTTTCCAGCCACTTCAGTTGCTTCTCAGTTGCAGGTTGTCGAAGGCTTTATTTGCTCATAAAATGCCACCTTCGGTCAAGTCCTTTCTACCGTCAGTGCCTACCCCAGTCAAGCACTTTCTATTCCCTGCCAGTATTTTACTTTCCCCTCCAAGGTACCTGGGACATGCAAACACCTGCCCACACTCACTCGGGCAGCCAGAACTGATTAATTCCGTTTATTGCCAATGCATTTGCAGTAGAATTAGGCACATTGAAATGGAATAAAGGGGCTTGGCTGTGTGGGTGGTGGAGCCAAGAACAGGCTTTGTTTGTAAATAGGACTCCTTGATGCTGTGCAGAGCTTTCCTGGGGAGAAAGTACTGCCTGCTGCCTGGCTTGCGGTGCTCGCTTAGCCCCCAGGGTGGGTCCAGGGCAGAGGCAAGTCAAATGCTAGAAAGGAAAGCTCCTCGGAGGGGGTCAGGCACCGCCCAGCATTTCCCCAGGGAGCCGCAGGGTGGAACTTGGCACCGTCCCACCCTCCCAGGAGGGGCTGACTCCCCCTTCAGCACTTGTCTTGGGCTGCTCTTATTCCTGTGCACATTCCCCTGCAGCTTCAGCCTCCACCACAGAACGGAGCACAAAACCTAGTTCCTTTCAGGACAGCCAAGATTGACTAGCATTTAAAAATAATAATGATGATGATAACAGTTGCCAGTTATTAACCAGCTATTATGGATCAAGCCCTGGGTTAAGGGCTTTAGATACATTCTCTCTTATTCCTCCCAGTACCCCCGTGGTGGGCACTAATAGTGCCATTTAATAGATGAGCAGTTGGGGCTCATAGAGGTGCAGTAACTTGCTCAGGGCCAAGGATCCCAGCCCTTCCGGTCCTCCAAAGGCCACATGCTTTGTTCTGTCACCTCCTTCGTACCCTAATTTGACCAAGTACCAAAAGAATGCAGAGAGAGGAAATGAAGGACATCTCATCTTGAAAGTCACCAAGCTTCAGAAGCCCAGTGTTCGTCCTAGATCCTGCCTGGCCCCACGCCCTCCACCTCTGAGGTCATCCCTGGCGGGGAGGCCCATTTTGTTTCTGCCAGTGGTCAATGGGGTGGACGGTGGGTGCTGGCGATCGGGGACCAGAGCAAGGTGTGTGCAACCCAGCACCTGGTTGCGTGGTCCTCCGTGGGCTCTGCATGAAAATTATGTTGAACGGGAGGATGGGGGCAGGAGACAAGCAGCGAAGACAGCGGCGCCCGAGGGGACGCACCGGCTGAGCCCTGGTGAGAGAAAAGGTGACAGCAGGCATTCGCTGGGTGACGACTCTATGCTGGGCACTCTGCTGAGCACTTAAAAAAAAAATCCTCCTGTGACAATATGGCTCTTACTGATTTTTTTTTTTTTAGAGAAAGAGAGGAACACTGATGTGAGAGGGAAACACTGATTGGTTGCCTTTCATTTGCACCCCGACCAGGGATCGAACCACAGCCTAGGTATGTGCCCTGACCAGGAATCAAACCTGCAACCTTTTGGTGTATGGGATGATGCTTCAACCAACTAAGCCACCTGGCCAGGACAGCTGTTAAGTGCTTTTGATGTTCCACCTTAATGAATCCCTAAACAGTCCCTGAGTTAGATGTTGTGCCATGCCTCACTGAAAGATGAGTGAACTGTTACCTCGGAGAGGTTGTTACTTGTTCAAGGTCACCCAGCAAGGAAGTAGCAGAGCTGGGACGGGGATCAGCCCCAGAACTTCTGGTTAGTCCCGGACCCTGTGACCCTGAACTTGTGTGATGAAAAAACAGACTGACATGGATGGCCCTTGGCAGCTGGGCACTCAGCCCTCTGTAGTCACAGTGGCGACAGCTGCGCTGTGTTTCCACACTCCGCTTTTGGATTTGGAACCTGAAGGAGTCTTCTGGCCATTCAGAATGTGTTCTCGGTGAAGCACGGTGGGCGGCCCAGTGGAGTGGGGGCCGTGCTAACGACAGCAGACAGAAGGAAGGTAGGGCAGAGCGGGCTCTATTGTATCTCATGGACAGGCACAATAATAGCAGTTGCCGGCATTTGGGGAGTGCTGCCTCTGTGCCAACCGGTGTGCTTAGTGAGCG